GAGCATTGAAAAAGAGGGGCTGGAGCTAGGTGGTGGTGCACACGCCTTTAATCCCAGCACTCAGGAGGCAGACGCAGGAGGATCTCTGTGAGTTCGAGGCCAGCCTGGTCTACCAAGTGAGTTCCAGGACAGCCTCCAAATACAGAGAAACCCTGTCTCCAAAAAAACACAACAACAACAACAACAAAAGAGGGGCTGGAATGTCTGTGAGAGTCTGAAGTAGATGTGTGCACAGAGAAACAGTAGCTCCTGGACATGATAAAACGCCTGCTATGCGTAAGGACTCAGCCGCAGAGGCTGCATGCTTTTGACCCACACAAGATTAAGACAGCTAAAACCCAAGTGTGAATGGGTGACATGCTCTTCAAGTCCCACTTCGAGCTGAGAAACTACCGGCAACTGATGGCTGTTACGGGGTATGGGACAAGTCTTTTTTTCCAGGGATGTGGCCTGGGCTCCAGCATATGGGCCAGTGCCCATGCACATTCAGGCAGCACTGTTAGGACTCTGTGGATTTAAAAACAAAGCACAGGAAGCCGGGTGTTGGTGGCACACTCCTTTAATCCCAGCACTTGGGAGGCAGAGGCAGATGGATCTCTGTGAGTTCAAGCCCAGCCTGGTCTACAGAGTGAGTTCCAGGACAGGCTTTTCCAAAGCTACAGAGAAACCCTGTCTCAAAACAACAAAAACCAAAAGGACAAAGCAGATGGAGTTGAGAGGAAAAAGTGGGAGGGGGCAGATAAGGATGGAATTGGAGGGAAGAGAATCAGGTGGATTTGCATATATACAACTCTCATAATAAAAAATCATGCAGGTCGAATAAGTTCACTCTTCCACAACTAAGAGAATACCTTCTGTATGATTCCATAAAACCATAATGTACCTAATATCTGGGGACAGAAAGCAGACCAGGGATTCAGGAGTGGGGTGGGAAGGTTAGGCAGCTGGATTAAAAAGGGCACAAGGAAGATCTTGGGGGTGATGGACATGTCCTTGTGACTGTGGAAACGGTCCCCAGAGCACACTGGCAGAGATGGACGGATCGTAAACTCAAGGCCAGTTTGGGCGGAATGGCAAGGCTGTCTCAAAACACAAACACGTGGAGGGGTTTGGGTGGGGGAAGCTATAATGTACCATCTGTTCCAAGCCATAAAGTCAACCCTCACCTTGGTCAGCTGTTTCAAAAGATAGACATTTGGTTATCAGGGTGGGGATGAAGTAATTCCAAACAAGCACGACTGGTAACAACAGAAAATGCCACTGGAAAGTAAGCGCTCTTATCTTCCTTGCAGAGGACAGCACCCCGTCAACACTGTTTGCTTTATGAACACAGTTCTATCCTATGAACTTTGAAACTTAGATTATAACACAGTAACTACCGGTAAAGTAGTAGCACCCCGCTTCCTCCCCCACCCCGCCTCTGTGTGTCTCTGTCTCTCTGTGTCTCTGTCTCTGTCTCTCAGTGTGGCTCTGCATCCGAGGAAGACGTGTGTAGAACACACCCAGCACGGAAGAGTAAGAGCAAAGCATGGGCTCTAAGTCTGATTAGAGGTCAATGTGTTTCCGGGATTTTAAACGGCTACCGACTGCAGTTCCTAGTCCTCCACCTCTGCTGCAGCACTTTCTAAGTGCGTGGAATTACTGAACTGGGCTTTGCTGCTGAATTGTGTAGCTCCACCCCTGGCTTCTGACCAGTGTACTTTTCCTTTTACTACTGAGGGGATTCCTATAGTGTTCTCACTCAGGAAAATAAAAGTTTATGTGACTTTCATGAAGATTATTTTTTCCTGACACATGCTTCTCAACATTAAGTCATGTTTATATAAGGTTCAACTGGGACCAAATACAGTGTAAATGGTCTCTTTAACTGCTAAAGTTCACATACAGAAGACTAGTTATTACATCATTGAAACACTGCCTTTCACAGGCTTATGGTAGCAACAGAGAAGGGGAAGGAGGCTTTTCTATGGGTAGGAGAAGCATGCTACCTGGAGATAACAGGAGCTGCAGTGAGATTTAGCATGTGGCAACGATTCCAGAGAGCAAATAAAGCTTTTTACAATCCCAGCTCTATAGTGGGATTCGTTTTTTACAAACTACAGGACATTTATAATCTTTCCCTAAAGAAACAAAGCCTGCCAGTGTGACCTGATATTCACTAAGAAGCAACAGGTAGCCATATGGTTTTGTACAGAGAACAAAAACTTAAAGTAGAAAAGAGATTGTCCCTTTCCTTTGAAAGCAAACAGAAAAGACCACTCAAATTTGTTTAAGAAAGACCAAGCTGGACGTTTCTAGAGCACAACTTTATTCCCAGTACTCAAGAGGCAGAAAGATCTTTTTGAGGCCTGAGCCAGTCGACACAGTGAGATCCTGTGTCAAAAAGTTGGCCTGGAGAGATAAGAGATGGCTGCTCAGTGGTTAACTGGGCATACTGCTCTCGCAGAGGACCCGAGTTTGGTACCCAGAACCCACTTCAGACAGCTCACAACAACCTATTAATTCCAGCTGGAAGGGATCCAATGCCTCTGGTCTCCCAGAGAACCTCCACTTGTTTGTATGTACTTGTGTGTTCGTGCGTTCTCATGTGCGCACGTGCGCGCACACGCGCGTGAACACACACCACACACACACACACACACACACGCACACCACACACAAAACAAGTCCCCCCCAAAATATCAAAACACCAAACACAACTCCCCCCCCCCAAAAAAAACAGACCAAAGCCTTCAACTCAAGGAGCATGAATTAAGAGCTAATAAGAGAAAAATCATTGTTAGTCCAAAAATTCTACCAGGTACCTATTAAGCAAAAGAGCTGTAAGACAATAATGTCTGGTTTGTTACAGAATCCAAACAAACAAACAGAAACTACCCCACAAATTTAATGAGGTTTCACTTTAATTAAATATCTGGAAAGGTGGCTAGGTGGTTAAGAGGATGGTGGCTCACAACTGTCTGTAACTCCAGTTTTAGGGAACATGGTTTTCTCCTCTGGCTTCCCAGGCACCAGGCACACACACAGTGCACATATATACATGAAGGCAAAATACTCATGCACATTAATAAAAGTAAACTCAAAACAGCAACAACAGAGTCTTGGTGAGAACTGTGACTCTAACCCCAGTTGTGACTGACTCAGAAGATGTCTAAAGATGCTTGTCTTGTGGCGGAACTAAACTGGATGGAGGCTGAGCTCAGTTATATCTCCTACAGGCCACACGCAGATTCAGTCTAACACTTGGCCCAACTCTGAAAGCCACTATCAAAACAACTCTCTTAAAGAGCTCCTGCTCCTCTGGCTCCTTTTAACTTTTCACACTATTCTTACAATGAACAGAACTAGACACAAGTAGAAAAACCATTAAGAAACATGCACAACAAGCAGCCAAGGCAGAGAACAGTTTTTACTAGCTCCAAACACTTGTCTTGAAGTATTGTCACAGTCTTAAGGCAACCATCACAACGGCAGTCATTTTATTTGTTCAACAAATATTTGGTGCTAGGGATGTGGCTTAGTGACCAATCATGTCCCTGAGCTAATCTTCAACAACAAAAATTACTACAGCAAATATTTACCATGTATCTACATCAGGTTCTGCCAGGCTTACGGGAGATTGAATATTGAAGTGACACATGCATCAGGTGCCATTCTGTGCCCTCTCAGGCTGCAGAAACGGTCAGAGCAAAACTCAGAGCACGCTCTGATTCCTTCCATTACAGGTGTCCTCTCCCACCCCATCTAGTTCTGACGGGATGAAGGCAGATGATGCGGGGAGGAACACGGAGCATCACAGGTACTAGCACGGTGAAGAAGGCTCAAGCTTTCCTTAGTATTTTTTCTGTTCTCCCCACTAGCAGATAAGGACACAGAATGGGAAGGTGTCCAGAGGCCAAACGAAAGAAATGAAATAGCATCACTCTAAACAATTACAGAAGCCACAAGCTTAGATGTTTTACTTTGCTCTGTAGGGAGTCCTTAGTCTTCAGCAGGCTCACCTTTCACTTGCTTTGGTTATTGCCCTTTGGCTATGGGAGTATCATCTGCCTAGATTCAACAGATACTCCAAAAAGTCTCTTCTCCTCTCATCTAAATATGCTGAGACAGAAGGAAAAGCTCTCTGTGCACGTGAACTTGAAAGGAGGGGCATCTGCATCTGCTGGATATTTTTTAAGGCTCTGCAGTGTTTCCATAGATAACTGTCCTCACTAACACACCTCTCCCAACCTTTGCATTTTAATAGACAACAAATTAAGTAACAAAATAATTTTCTTTATTTTTGAGACAGGGTTTCTCTGTGTAGCCCCGGCTGTCCTAGAACTCACTCTGTAGACCAGGCTGGCCTCAAACTCAGATATCTGTCTGCCACTGCTTCCCCAGTGGAGGTATGTAGCACCACACCTCCACATCTGGCCAAACAAAAGAATTTTTAATTGTGTTCGTAGCACCTTGATTTACTGGACATTATACCCTAAGCTTTGGTATATGAGTGCACACGTGTGTGTGTGTGTGTGTGTGTGTGTGTGTGTGTGTATTTCTCACGAAGTATATTTCTGCAAGTTCTCAAAGGGGTGAGCACTTGAAAACAGCCAAAATATACTAAAAGCACAAGGTTCAAGGTTTAGAAACCTAGTAGAGACTAAGGGGGCAATTCTGAGGGCAGAAAAGCTTTATCATTCCCCCCCCCTCCATTTGTTTCTTCACACAGGGTCTACATAGCCTTGGTTGATCTGTACATTGCTAAGTAGAGTTTAAGTAGGCCTTAAACTCAGAGAGACATCCCCCATCTCTGCCTCCTAAGCACTGGAATCAAAGGTGTGCATCACCACCCTTGACTGAAAAATGTTGTCACATAGGTGGGTGCCTAAGCAACTTACTGTCAATATGTCCTCCTGCCACTTCAATAACTACACCAACATCCACTTTAATAAATACACTAGAGAATGGTTCACAACACATGGTAACCAGTCAATCTAAATCAATCTCTCTCCACATACCTTTAAAGCTTCTATAACAAGGTCCCTTGCTTCAAGTTCTCCTTCAAGAATACTGAACAGCGTCAGGAGTTCAGGCTTGCTGAGTTTTTCCAGATTCATCCTGAAAGTCTTAAACAAAGACAACAATCAGTCTCCAGGAGAGGAGGGAGCTTGACAGGAGGGAAGGGAAAGTGGAGACAGAACGTACAGTAGGTAACCTTAGGAGCTGCAACCCAAAACAAACTGAGCAGGAGAAAAAGAAAATCCACTGTAAATTATTGACTCCATCACCAAGATCAATTATTCATTACCTTTTCCAGGCTGGTTTGCAACCTGGGTCTCAGAATGGTTCAGGACTAATTTTGTCTGCTAAAAACTGAGGTAGAATTGGGTTCCACTGGGTACAATTTCACTAAAGAATTACTGGATCCCACAAAGATCCTTATTTTAGATAACCAAACTTGAAAACTGTACACAGATCATGCTGTCATCTCTCTTCATTTGAAGTCAAGTTTAAGCAAAGGTAATGCTTACCCATCCTTTAGAAAAGCAGATCTAAACATAAGCACATGCAAATAAACACCTGTCTGTCTTCACATTTTAAAAAGATTTTATTTTTCTTTTTAATTATGCTTCTGGGTGCAGGTTGTGCATGAGGACAGTGCCAATGGAGACATTGAATTCCTCTGGAGCTGGAGTCACAGGAGGTTGGGAACCATCTTATGTGGGTGCTGGGAACTGACCTTGGATCCACTGCAAGTGCTCTTAACCATGGGGCCATCTCTCAGCCTCTTAGTTTACTTTGTTTTTTGAGACAGTTTTCTATGTAGTTTAGGCTGGCCTTGAAGTATTAATCCTGCTAGCTCATCCTCCAGAGTGCCAGGATTAGAATCATGAGTTAGTTTAGACATCTTAATGAGCCAGACTACTACAAATTTAACTTTTTATGACCATTATTTTGTCTCCTTGAGATACAGTCTCAACATATTGTGCAGCTCAGCCTAACTACCTATGTAGATTAGGCTGGCCTTCAGTTTGTGTCAATCCTTGGCCTTTACTTCTCAAGTGCCAGGATTACTGACAGTATTCTTGTACACAGTGATAGCTTTCATAAAGACATTTTCCTTCAATTATATCACCTACTTTGGCAATATTCACCTCCTCAAACATTCTCCTTTCTCCTCAAACAAGTCCTCTTCTTCCCCCAATCCTGCTTCTACTTCTGTAGTGTGTGTGTGTGTGTGTGTGTGTGTGTGTGTGTGTGTGTGTGTGTGTGTGTGTATGTATGTGTGATCTTAGGGATCTATGGAAGAATCTACAAGTGAGGAAACATTTGCAATTTTGACTTATTTCACTTGATATGATGATCTCTAGTTGCATCCATTTTTCTGCAAATGGAGTGACTTTCATCGTTATGGCTAGATAAACGGACCCTGTACAGATACATGTTTTCTTTACCCCTCATCTGTTAGCAGAGACATTCAACTCATTCTTATTTGGCTGTTATGAACAGTACTACAATCAACCTTTGGGTGTTTACTTGGGTATATAGCAGGATCCCATGGTAGTTCTATTTTTAATTTTCTGAGGAACCACGATACTGACTTCCCTGGTGGCCGGATCACCTACAGAGGATAACTAAGTGCCCTGCCCCGCCTCACCAGCACTTGCTTCCTTCTCTTTTAGGCTATTTTCTTAGGTTTGTCTCCTCCCTGTCACCCTCTTCCTTCAGTGTTTCCACACACAGGCATGGCTGGCCCTGAATTTTTCAATCTTCCTGCTTCTGCTTCCCAAGTCCTGGAATTGCAGGAGTGGAACTGCATCCCACTTGGTCCTATCATCATCTTGGTAGCTGCAGATAGGTGAGATGGAATCTCAATGCATTTATCTGCTGGAGGAGAAAGTCAAATGTTTTAATTTTCATGGTTTTTGTTTGTTTCGGGCCGGGCGTTGGTGGCGCACGCCTTTAATCCCAGCACTCGGGAGGCAGAGGCAGGCAGATCTCTGTGAGTTCGAGGCCAGCCTGGTCTACAGAGCTAGTTCCAGGATAACCTCCAAAGATACACAGGGAAACCCTGTCTCGAAAAACCAAAAAAAAAAAAAAAAAAAGTGTTTGTTTCGTTAGTTCATTTATTGATGAGTTGTTTTACATTTATTTTACACATGTTTATTTGTGTGTGTGTGTGTGTGCACACGCGCGCACGTACCAAGGCATAGTATGGAGGTTAGAGAACAACCTTTGGGGGCTGGGTCTCACATCCCACCAGGTGGGTTCCAGTGATCCAGTTCCTGTTGACAGGCTTCCCCACCGAGCTATCTTGCCAGTCCAAGTTCTTGTATTTAATTAAATACTACTCTTCGGTCATGTGTAGCTGGTGACATTTTTCCTTCCACTCTGTAGCTATCTCTTTCTCCTGTTTCCTGTGCAGAAACTTTACTTCATACCATCCCATTTGTCAGCTCTTGGTTTTATTTCCTGAGTCAAGTGGAGTCTTTTTTCAGAAATGGCTGTATCTTGAAATGTTTCCCCTAATAGTTTCAGGTCTTACATTGAGAGGTTTTTGATCCATTGTGTTCAATTAATTGTTGTATAGGGATGTCGTTTACTTGGCACCATTTGTTGAGAGGGATGTCTGTTCCACAATGTATGTCTTTGGCATCACATGGCCATAACTGTGGGTTTATATCCAGGCCCTCTATTCTGTCCTACTGATCCACACAATTGTTTTTGAACTAGTAGCATGCTATTTTTGTTACCGTGGCTCAATAATCGATAGTATATATATAAATACAGTATAGTAACTTGAGGTATTCTGACATCACTCTTTTCATTCAGGATCGCTTTGGCCATTCCAGGCCTTTTGTGATTCCATATGTTTTAGGGTTGTTTTTCCTATTTATATAGTGAAGAATGTTGTTGGAATTTTGAAGGGGATTACAATGATTCTGTAGATTGTTTTTGCTAAGAGTCATTTTCATGATATCAACTCTACTGACCCATGAACATAGAAGATCTGTCCATCTTCCTGGGTCTTCTCCAATGTTCCAACATTTTCCCTGTGGAAATAGCTTACTTGGGGGCTGGAAAGATAGCTCAGTGGTTAAGAGCACTGACTGCCCTTCCAGAGGACTGGGTTCAATTCCCAGCACCCACATGGTGGCTCACAACTATCTGTGGCTCTAGTCCTAGAGAATCCAACACCCTCCTCTGTAGGCATTGCACATACATGGTGCACAGCCACACAGACAGGCAAAAACATCCATACCCATAAAAAAATAAACATTAAAAAAGGAATAGTTTATTTCCTGGTTAGGTTTATTCCTAGGCACTTAGTTTTTTTGTTTTTGTTTTTACAAGACAGGGTTTCTCTGTTTTGGAGGCTGTCGGTCCAGCCTAGCCTCGAACTCACAGAGATCCGCCTGCCTCTGCCTCCCGAGTGCTGGGATTAAAGGCGTGCGCCACCAACGCCCGGCCAGGCACTTAGTTTTTTACTTATTGTTTGAAGCTACTGTGAATAGGACTGCTTTCCAGAGTCCTTTCTTTTAGTGTTTGTCATTGGCATATGGGGAAGATGCTGATTTTTCTATTGATTTTGTATTGTACTACTTTGCTCCTAGTGTTTACCAGCACTAAGAGGTGTTTTTAGTCAATCTGTTTAACAAGTTCACGTTTCTACAAGGAAAGTTGGCACCAACTCAATCTACTGTCTCAGAACACATGTAGAGGAAGGCAGCTGGTTCCATCACCTATGAAGGGTCTCCACCAGTGAATACTGTACAAGATTTTGCAGTTTCCATGGGAGTACAAATAGTATTTTCCTTCCACCTTTTATTCCTAAACTGTAACTGTCAGTGTTTTTTCAAAGTGAAGGCAACGTGGTAAGTTCATTGACTCTCCAGCAATTCTTCATCCAATTTAGATCCCAGGGGCACTCCAGCCACCGACTCGTTCAGGGTGACTGCACTACAGTGAAAGAGAACATGCACAGATGTGTACTTCAATGTGTCATCAGAGCATGTTCTAGCATGTAATCTGAAAATCTTTTACCACATAGTAAAATGTCGTTAATGTAATCTCAGCTCTAAATGCTAACTTCTGGTCAGTGGATTCCTGCCAGTAGCATTAAAGAGCATATGCCATAAGTTATCGTGAGAACAAGAAACAAAGACAGCAATCCCAACTAGAAAACCCCCAACAAACTTAATAAAGCTGCCTGTCAGCCCTCCTGTAAGCTACATAGGGCACAGCGCAGGACACAAGCCTTAGTGGCTGATGCCAAGTCTGCATCTTCCTATTTGAATGACTGGGCGACTTCCTCTTACAGATGTACTCAGGAAGATGGGGCTCTAGGAAGCTTTACTTGAAGACATGCAGAGCTGTTTCAAGAACTGACTTCCTTCCTTGTTTTTTGTTTTTTTTCTGAGACAGGGTTACACTGAAGTCCAGACTAGATTAGCCTAGAACTCACAGCAATCTTCCTGCCTCAGCCTCTCTAGGGTTGAGAGTGCAAGCATAAACCACCGCACCTTGATCAATGACTTTAAATAAAACATTTAATTACTTATTGCTTATTTTGTGAGGGTGTGAGTGTGAGGAGGGCAATGTGTATCCATAGCAGCACGAGGAAGTTAGATGATGACTTTCAGGAGTCAGTTCTGTCCTTTAGCTTGGGTTCCAGGGATTGAACCCAGGTCATCAGGCTTGGGCAGTAAATGATTTTATCTAATGAACTATCTCACTGGTCCTGATTTCATAATTATTATTTTTTAACTTATTTTATTATTTATTTATGCGTATGTACACCTATGTGTATGTGCACCCGAGTATAGATGCCATTAAAGGTCAGAAGAGAGCATCAAACCCCCTGAAACTGGAGTTATGTGTAGTTATGAGCCACCCTACATGATGCTGGGAACTGAACTTAGGTTCCTTGAAAGAGCACCAAACACTTTTTCTTTTTTCTGACCCTGAATTCAGAGACAGGCCTGCCTCTGCCTCCTGAATGTCGGGATTAAAGACGTGCACCGTCACACCCAGTTATGCAACAAGCACTCTTAACCACTGCACCGTCTCCCAGCTCCCTGCCCTAGTAATTAATAACTACAATTCTTTTGTTTTCTAAAGTAACTCTAAGGAAGGCACTGGAAAAGCTGCCCCTCTGTAGTCATGACCATACCAGAGGCCACGGCATCAGGAGTGAAGCATTGTGAGGAATTAAACACTGGTTGAGTCGTGCGGGCTTCTTACCGCGGGTTCATGCTTTTACTTCCCTCACCAAGGCAAGATAGAAGGGATATCCTTTCATGTTCCCCTCTCTCTTCCCATGATGCAAAGCAGAGTAATAGGCACACGGGAAAGGCACACCACAAACACCAATGGGGCAGACTAAATCAAGCTCCAAGGCAAGATGGCAGAAAGAATGATGACATGACTGTTCTTATTACTCTTTTCTTCAATCTTTAGTCTTTAAACATTTTTGTTTAGAGGTCCAAAATGACGACAAAAAGCAGTGACATTCCAGTAAAACACAGACTGCAAAATGCCAGTCCTGGCTTGGACAGGAACAGCTAGTTGGCCCTGAGGAACACAGACTTAGTCAACCTTTGTTTCTTAACATGTAAAACAATACAAATTAGGCAGGGTGGCAGAGGTGCATGTCTTTAATCCCAGCACTCAGGAGGCAGAGGCAAGTGGATGTGAGTTCCAGGCCAGCCTGGTCTAGAGTGAGTCTAGGACTAAAGCCCAAACAAACAAAAACACCACCACCACCACACCAACACACATCAACACCCCCCCACACACACACACGGTAAATCAGATTATGTCCAAATCAGAGTCTCTGACCTGCTATGATAATATACATCTCCATGAAAGAATAAAATTGCTGCCCAGCAGTAGTGGCACAAACCTTTAATCCCAGCACTGGGGAGGCAGAGGCAGACAGATCTCAGTGAGTTCAAGGCCAGACTGGTCTACAAAGTGAGTTCCAGGACAGCCAGGACTGCTGTTACACAGAGAAACCCGTCTTGGAAAAAAAAAAATAAGGTGAAGACAATAGAGGAACACATTCCACATTGTCCTTTGGTCTCTACACAGGCATGCATAGGAGCATGTATTGTTACATACTTGCATACACAACACACACACTGTAGTCTTACCTGTGACTATAAATCACTTGTATACACAAATTTTAATTCTGGAACATTTTATTAATACATATCAACTCATTTGGCTTATTGTTTCTAATGCAAGATAGGGGAAAAGCCACAGGTGTGTAGCTCAAGACCAACATAGTCTAGTAACCTTTCTTCAGACAGTAAAACTTAGCAATTCTTTTCTATTCTGTACATTGGGATCTATTCTCAATACACATTGTAATACTTCTTACAATAAAATCTTGTCTGAATTACAGACATTCATTATGATTTAGTATGGCAGAGGTGTTTCTGTGGGTGTAGCGGAGGTGACACTGACCTGGTAACAGGCGGCTGCACTTTAGTCCTCTGGTACAAAGTCTTAGAAGTTTCCTTCAGTTACAATTTTAGAAAACTGACAGACATTTAAAATGTTGTCAGCATGGTGGAAGAGTGTCCAACACTGCAAAACAAGAAGAAATTCATTGTCCTTGTGATCATACTACGAACAATGTGGTGAGCCCATTATTGTCAACTAGGACCACAGCTGGTGAGAACTGACAGCAGTAGGTTGCTGATGACAAGAGATATGGCCGGTTCCTCAGGCTGAAGCTGAATAACATCTGAAACACTAGGGCTCCGACTTCCCTCTTGCAAGGGTTCTCAGGGAGGGTGGGAGGAGCTTGCTACAGAGCCTAGGGTGGCCTCAAACTCAATTGGTGATGCTCCTGCTTCAGCCTCCGACATCCTAAAATTTCTTTTCATGTCCAATACCATTTCAAGGACTAACTTCCAAGGGCGTTGGGGCACTCACGGTCCCCGAACTGACAAGTCATCAGCATCAGACAACTCATGCACAATGCCACAATGCACTCCAAACATAGTCACAACCAAAATGTTCCACCTGCCAGATATATAAGGAAATGTCTCATCTCAATTCCCGATAACCACAAACAAGTCAATCTGTGAATCTGTGACCATTTCCACTGTTCATAAGGATAACCAAATACCTCCAACTTGTATTTTCCCATCATGTCTACATGCTAAATGCTGACTTACTGACTTACAAATGTTTTTGCTTATATTTCCCCAATAGTATTAAGCTATAGTTTCTCCCTCTCTCTCTCTCTCTCACTCTCTCTCTCTCTCTCTCTCTCTCCCTCCCTCCCTCCCTCCCTCCCTCCCTCCGTGAAAGTGACAAGGGAAAAAGGGGGCATTGGGAAGGAGTGGAGCAAGGAAAGGGAGGGCAGGAGGGCTGGGGGTGGAGATGAGGGAGTCAGGTTCAACATATAATATATACATGTATGAAAACTTGAAAAAACTGAAATAAAAAAGGAAAGGGGCCCTTTATCTTTATTCAATTTGTTCCCAAGTCAACGGTTAAACTCCAAACCTCCCAATTTAGGAGAGGAAGTGTGGGCTCATCCCATAGTCAAGAGTAGAGGACCAACAGCATGTAGGCAAACCACCAAATAAGCTACTCTAGCAATTTCTGCCAACATACGAGCAGAATTCTACTGCCCGAGGTTTTCAGAAGGCTGTTCATAACCCACACTCGCTACCAGAACCACCACTGCCAGGTTTTGGGTATGTATGCCACGCTATGGACTCCTTGTTTTCTAAGTGGGCTGTTACTTGTCACTGACACCATCCGTTGAATGACTTTGAAACACAGGATCATTCCAACCATATGCCCAGCTTACTCTTTCCAGTAGACCCCTCCAAGACCCAGTCTGCCCCAGAGTTTACACCCAGACACTCTGTCTAAGGAATGCTACAGTCTATAAATCTGAAAGGAAAACCACTTGTGGACAACTTGCCTGGATATATTCCAGTGCTAGCTGACAGTGTATTAAACTTCAGAGTTTTCTTAATAAAACACATATAAATACATTCAATAAAAATGTTACAAGTATTTCAATGCCCTGGAAAAATAAGGCCACTTAGAGACTAAGCACGAGACAGTTTTACATTACGGTACGTGATTTCAAACAAGCTTGCTCAGCAAGGGTTCTGTTACAGGCCCCTTCCCACTTCTCCAGAGCTAACAGCAAGAGATTGCGAATCTTCACTAAACAAATTTTTCCTTTTTGTCTGTTTTTTGAGGCAGTCTTACTATGTAGCCTTGACTGGCCTGGAACCCCCTATGTAGAGCAGGCTGGTCTTGAACTAGACAAATACACCTGCCTTTGCCTCCTGAGTACATACAACCCTCTTTTTTTCTTCTTGAGAAAGGGTCTTGTTATGTAGCCCAGGCCAGTTTTGAATTTACCCCTTTGCCTCAGTCCTTCTAGAATGAGATTAAAGGTGTGTCCTACCATGCCTGGCCTAAATGTGACAACAATCAGAGGAGTCACTGGTGCCAGGGAGGAGGGAGCGCATATGCACACAAGGTCTACACTCCCGTCCACCAAACAGCACCTCCTTAACTGCCGTGCTGGCTGTGCCTGGGGAATGTGTTGCTGTGATCTGTTCTCTTTGTTCCCAACCTCAGAGAGAGTAACACCCAAACTCCATTCATTCTGGTTCTCACTGTGCTTCCTGCTTCTCGATGAAGCCTGCGTCCTGGAACTGAACTAATTCTGTTGGACAACAGGCACAGCTGCCCTTTCACCAGAGAGATGAGGTAGCAGAAAAAGAAACACGCCAAACAGCTTCTACAGCCATGTAAGTAATAGGGCGGGGCGGGGCGGGGCAGAGCGGAGCACAGGTAAAATGTCTGTGTCTAGTATCTGGGTGGACATGCAAGGCAAGGTCTACTTTCCAAGCAGTTAGTAATGAGGAACATGGTTAAACAAAAATCAACATTTTAGATGAGTCTTAGTTCTTAACAGGGTAACCTCAAAAACAAAAGAATAAAAAATCAACTCAAATTTTTAAAAATTCAGTTATTTTACTAGATCATTTTGTTATACATTCAGATATCCAATTTAAATAACTCACACTTGGGCTAAATCTGGCTCATAAGCATTCAGTGTGATTTTAGAATCAGTAATTAGATATGGCCAGAAATATAAATTGAGTTTGTTTCAATCATGTAGCCTCAAATAAATATATTTGTAAAACTAAAATATGGGTCAGTTACTTTTCTTTTTTTTGGTTTTTTGAGACAGGGTTTCTCTGTGTAACAGCTCTGGCTGTCCTGGAACTTACTCTGTAGAGCAGGGTGGTCTCAAACTCACAGAGATCCACCTATCTCTGCCTCCCCAGTGCTGGGATTAAAGGCGAGTGAGTGCCACCACCAACCGGCGGTCAGTCACTTCTTAAAACAAAAGAGATAACAGGGATCTTGACATCTAGCCACTAAATAGTGCATTATCTTAAAAACCTAGTATATACCTGGGCATGCTTGTGCATACCTATTATCCCAGCACTTAGGAGGTGGGAGTCAGCAAGATAAAAAGTTCAAGACCAGCCTGGACATAAATACCTAGTAGATTCAGGGCCTGCCTGTGTTATGAGGCCTTTTCTAAAAACAAAAGCAAACCAGACCAAACCAAATGGAAGAAAATCAGTATACATATTACAAAAATGAACAGGAAACACTGTTTAAGGTGATTAAACCTAAACAAGGACACAGATGCACTGTTACAAAATGAGTTCAGAGGCCCCTTTCTACAGGTGGAAAGTACCGACATACTAGACTATCTCAAAAGACTAAAAACTCTCCAAGTCCTCGTATATCTGGGTTTAGAGGGGCTAGCTGTCCATGTGCACAGAGACAGTGACAATGCTTTCTTTATTTTTTATTTTTTGGATCTAGCCAGGGAAGAAGACCGTGTCAACATGCTTTAACAAAATGATTTTCTGATTTGTCTTAAAATGTGGTTTTAGCCAAGTGTGCAGGTACAGACCTGTGACCCCAGCACTTGGGAGACTAAGGCAGAGAAAGCTCAGGAAAAGCTGACTGCACTACACAGCAATATTTGGGAGGAGTCTCTTTTTGCTACTACTACCTCTTAAAAGAAAATCCTAAAGTCAAGGTACAAAATACAATTTCATTTTATAATATTAAGTAATATAAACTTAATTAGCCATATTTTCAATCAAGCTTTTCTCAGCTGAAGATGCTATGACTATTTCATTCCTATACAATATATGCTGATGAGCTGAGCCCTTACCCCAAATTCATGTTGAATCTTAACTCCTAGCATTTCAGAATGTGATTGCACAGGAGTGCCCCCTCCCTTGCCTTCCTTTTTGGCAGTACTGGTGACTGAACCCAGGACCTTGAACTTGTTAGGCAAGTGCTCTACCACTGAGTAACACCCAGAGAGTTTAAAGGGGCAATTAACTTAAAATGAGGTCAACACGACGTGCACAGAGAGAGACTTTAGAGTACTCCGTCCTAAATGAGATGTCTATCAAAGCTCTTCCCGCAAGGCTCAGGGCTCTACGGGAAAGAGGAGGCAGAATGACCGTAAGAGTCAGAGGTGGTGAATGACTCCAAAGAAGCAGTCATCCAGATCCAGCAGGACTGATAAACACAAGAAGTCACAAAGACTATGAGAGCATCCCCTAGTCCCTTGCAGCTTCAAACAGGACAACGTTTCAGCATGGAGAAAGTGGACACAGGGTCCCATCCCTAACCTTTCTGGCTATTTGCAATTGATACTTAACGGGGAAAATACAATAATTTTCTCTAATGAAGTGTCACTAGCTCTGATAGTCATACTCCAGGGCAGGTCCAAGAGTAGTTGGCCAATACAAAATGAACTCCATGCTTTTTTGTATGTTTTATTTTTATGTTTGTTTGTTTGTTTAGAAAGGAGAATGAACATGAAATTACATGATAGGGAGGTGGGAAGGATCTGGGAGTTGGGGGAGGGAAAAACTATATGATCAAAATATATTGCATGAAAAAAACTTAATTAAAAAAAGGCCAATATAATCCTTAATCCAATAAGGCTGGTATCCTTATAAGAGGAAATTAGAGAAACAGACCAGTCAGGGAAAAAGCCAGAATGCATTCTAATCAGAATAGTGGTCTAGGGCTGGAGAGATGGCTCAGAGGTTAAGAGCACTGTCTGCTCTTCCAGAGGTCGTGAGTTCAATTCCCAGCAACCACATGGTGGCTCACAACCATCCATAATGAGATCTGGTGCCCTCTTCTGGCATGCAGACATACATGGAAGCAAGATGTTGTATTCATAATAAATAAATACTTAAAAAAATGGTGGTCTAAACTTTTAGCCAAAATGTGAGTAAACACATTTAAAAAAAAAACCTTAAATCAATCAGTCTGCAGTGACACAAGACACAATACAACAATTTACTAACCACTTTTTGTTTGTTTCCTATGTCCTGGTTGGCCTGGAACTTGCTAAGTGCCACTAGGCTGGCTTACTTTCTACTCTAAAAGTGCACAGGAACAACTGGATCCCAGGCTTCCCCTACCATGTGAGCAGACACCATAGCACACCCTTTCTCAGACAGTTTTACCATTCTTTCCTGGCCATGCAATAAATAGCATTACAATAAAAAGAATGATTCTGGAAAATGTTTTAGAGACTACATTTCAGGACCCTCTGAATTACCCCGAAAGCCACCTGAATAACACACTTAGGGAGATGTTATGGTGCTGGGGGATGAAGACATTTATTTATCTAACACCAATGACGTCTCCAGGGACGAGCTCTACAGTCATGCTAAAACTCCTCAAGGTCAGCATTAAGACACTGGCTTACTCCGGTTAAGGCAGATTCAAGGACACCAGACTTTCAAGGCTTATGCTTACTATAAAAATGCTCACTATGAACAATGAAAACATTAGTCACCACCACCACCTCAGCGCTCTACAGCATAACTTTCAAAGAATTCAAATGAGAAATAATGAAAAAAGATGAGCATTTGGAGCTACACATGGATGTGTGCCAGGCATTTCTAAGTACTTGACACATAGCATCTTGGGTGACAAATGTCACCCCCTCAGCAACACACCACTGCGATCCCAGTTAAAAACAGCCAAGCTGAGGCACCTTGGCTGGAGAACTTGCTCTGAGTCTTGTTGCTAGTATGTGGAAGAAACAGGAATTGAACTCAGTAAATTTGACTCGAAAGGTGTTCTTGAAAACCACTGTTCATGGCTAATTGTACTTACCAGTCTTAGGTGATGGGACCTCAGAAATAATCCCATTCAGCCCCCCATTTTACAAATGAGGACTGGGCATATGACACAGTTAAAAGAGATCCAGGTCTAGTGCTGAGCACTTAAAATCTGTATTACACCGGTCTGTCTGTCTATCTATCATCTACCTATCTGTGTGTATACCATGGCATCTGTGTGAAGTTCAGAAGACAACCTGCCAGAGTGGGTCCCAGGACTGAACTCAGGTCACCAGGCCTCACAGCAAATGTCCTTACCCACTGAGACCCTACTTACTCATTTCTAAAATCTGGTCTAATTTGCTGTTCCAGACACCACAATGAAACTTTGTTTGTTTGATTTGGTCCTTGGGGTCTTCCGTGTGTGTGTGTGTGTGTGTGTGTGTGTGTGTGTGTGTGTGTGTGTGTGTGTGCATCTGTCTCATTGTTTGTCTTACATGTTGTCAGCAAGATTCACATGTGTGCTGAAGAACAGCTGCCCCTAAACAAGCATCTCTCTCTATGAGGACACCAAGACAAAGTTATTAAAAACAGGTCCGCTAACCAGGCAAGGTGGTGCATGCCTATAATCCCAGCACTCCGGAAGCTGAGGCAAGAGGGTTTCTACAAGTTCAAGGCAGGCCAGGACTACTCAGTAAGACCTAGTTTCAAAAACAAAATAAGACAAACAAAAACACAGGTCTGTCTACCTGGATATCAGTTTACACCCTTTCACTATTCTCACCAACATAAAACCACACCTGAAGAATGGTGTGGATAAAAATTAGTAATAGTTTTCACCGAAATTTTAAGAAACATGTATCTTTAAACATCAGATTATAAGAAGTTTGATTTTCGTACTTGCTAGTTAGTTTAAATGAAATTATAACAAGATTTCTACCTAACACAGTTATTTTAACTATCAGAGTTCCCCAAAACTCTGCTCTTTTGGCAAAACCAGAACAAGTGAACACTGGTTGTGTAGGCTGATTAAATTTTCAGTAAATATTTCATGGGTCACACTTGAGGCCGCCTGGATGGAAAACCCTTCAGTTGCTGCAGTAGAAGAAGTCACTGACTCCACAGGGATTACAAAGAAACACCACCAGCCTGGAGGACTAACCAACTCAGTCAAGGTGTTTGTGTCTTAACTATGCTCACTACCTCTTTCCCGGAACAGAAGTATAGTTTTAGCAATTTGTTGCCATCTGAATATTATCAGCAAACAGCAATGTCTTCCTGCTCTAGGTCCTTCAGGGGAAATAAATTATTCTCGTGGGAGACAGTGTGTTGTATTGGAAAGTGCATGGACTTTGGAGCCTAATAAATGGGTTTTCAAGCTGCCTCCATTGTAGATCTTCATACAGAAAATAGGATGACATACATTCCAGCAGGAGCTGTGTGGACTCAATGAGCTAGTGCCTGTGACTGGTCAGTTCTCACCCTGCTTCACTGAAGAGCATCCACTCTAGTCTACCTACAAGCTGCTTCACTGAAGAGCATCCATTCTAGTCTACCTACAAGGACGGGACATTATCCCCTCCCCCGCAACAGTGCATCACCGTCTATCATTCACATGACTAATTTACAAATAAAAACAAATGTATTTCTTCTTTAATCCAACTTAGAAGGTTGACATGATCCAAGGAGGAGACCAGTTCCCAAAAAATGTCAGTTTAGGGCTATGTTCTGCACATGTCCAAGCCAGTGATGATGGCTGCAAGCTACTTGGGAACAGAGAAGAACACTCTTCTGCCTCCTCAGTCCTTTGTGACTTTGGCAATGTAAATGACAGCAAGTGTGTCTCTGCTTCTACTGAAATTTTACATCTTTTGATCAAGTTACAACTTTTAACTTGTGATGACTGAGAAATGGGGTTGCTAAAAATAGCACAGCTAATTTTGACATTAGACGTGTAACAGAAATGAACCAGCTCTGAACTCAGGATCGGTTACCCCATTCTAGTTTATTAATTCATCCACTTACATATCTGCTTAGTGTTTCAGAAGATTCTGAACTCTGTGGACAGCTGTTCTGTCTGGTAGAAAATGGAGGAGGAAGTGGGAGAGATTTACTCACAGTAACTTAGAGACTGATTCCATTTAGGGAGGTTCATGGGGAAATAATCCAAAGCCAGGAGAGGTTTAGACTTGGTGACGAATGGCAATGCGGTCAACAGAAACAGGGATGTTAGAATGGGAACTGGTTTTAGTGGGGAAATGATGACTGTGATATGAGACATGCTGAGTAAGAACCAAGCAGCCCCCCAAGAGGAACCTGTGGGAGTCAGCTAGTGTACCGAGGGGCAAAGGCTTAAAGAAATCTATTTTGGTGTCTTTAATCTAAAGACAAGGGGTAAAGCGGTCATACAGGACCTGATTTGTACCCTCACATACTAACCCAGTTAAAAACAGACTACAGCCTGGCCTGGTGGCACAGACCACGATTCCAGCTACCCGGGAGTCTGAGACAGCAGGATCTCAATGTCAAGGACTGTCTGGACTACAAAATGAGTTCAAGCTTGAGCAATTATTTAGTGAGATCCAGTCTCAATTAAAAAAAAAAAAGAAGAAGAAAGGAAGAAAACAGAGGGGTGGGGACATAATTCAGGAGCAGAGTGTTTGCCTAGCATGTACAAGGTCCTTTTCCTGGGCTGGGGTAAAGAACTAAACTGGGTCTGCTTACACTCCCACCCCGGGGCACCTGCAAACAAAGGACGAGCTTGGAGAATCTAACAGTCTAACAGCAGCACAGCGTCACACAACCCTCGCCAACACTCTTTCCTACACCTTTCTCTGTATTCTTTCCTTTGTATCTGTAATCATCCCTCCACCGTGTGTGTGTGTGTGTGCACGAGAGAGAGAGAGAGAGAGAGAGAGAGAGAGAGAGAGAGAGAGAGAGAGAGAGAGAGAGAGAGAGAGAGAGAGAGAGACACACGTTTGGATGTGTGCAGACGGGCATGTATGTGGAAGCAAGGTCAGCAACAGGTGTCTCCTAAATTGCTCTCCAGCTTATTTTTTCAGACTTTCTGTCCCTGGACCTGCAACTTCCTGACTGGCTGGTCACAAGCCCCAGGGATCCTGTGGTCTCTGGTTCCCAGTGTTGAGATCACAGGCTTGCAGCTACACCGTCTGTTTGTGAGGGTGCTGCAGATCAGAACATTGGTCTTCAATCAAGCACCTTACAATGTGTGAGCCTCCTAAGGAGCCTCATATAGGAAACAGTCATTGAGAGGGCTTTGAACTAAAAGTTGGAACTTGATTTTCAGTTATCAAACTGAAAACATTCAGGAATTAAAAATAGCCTTTAAAAGCAGGTTGGCAAGAAACTCCTAGGAACCAACCCCACAGACCACTATCACAAAAAAACTTCCTATACAGAAATAATCTTTCTCCCCTCATAACACTCAACATCAGTTCAATAGCAGCCTCTAAGACACACCACAGAAAGCCAAGAATTCAAGTTCTGGTTAGCAAACTAACTGGCAGTACCGTAAATGTGACTCTGACTTGGCATATATCCATAACAGACTAGGGATACGGTGCTCACCGTGAGCATTTTGGATTATCGTCAGAAACCCATGATGGAGCCAGGCATTGGTGGCGCATGCCTTTAGTCCCAGCACTTGGGAGGCAGAGGCAGGCCAATTTCTCTGAGTTCGAGACCAGCCTGGTGTGTTTCCAGGGCAAGCACCAAAGCTACACAGAGAAACCCTGTGTAGAAAAACAAAAAACAAAACAAAACAAAGAAACCCACGATGGACTGTGCCCTGCTAATACATTTACTGGTAGGTTGAAGCACAAAAACTAAGGTTGGAGGTATAGCTCAGGTGGAAGGTTTGAGGTTCAAGTCCCGGCACAGGGTTAAGAGAAAAAAACCCACAAACCAACAAAACAAAACAAAATAAAAATTAAAGGAGAGAAGTTATCTTAGTTTGAGTTTCTATTGACACAGTAAAATGATACAAACAAAACAACTTGGGGAGGAAAGGTTTTCTGTCACCTTATAATTCTGAGATCACACTCCATCGCTGAGGAAAAGTCAGGGCAGGAACTCAAGGAAGGAACCTGGACGGAGGTACTGAAGCAGAGCCACAGAGGAAGGCTGCTTCCTGGCTCGCTCAGTCTGCTTTCTTCTATCACTCAGGCTCCCAGCCCAGGGCTGGCACCACCCAGTGAGCTGGGCCCTCTTACTTCCATCATCATCAATCAAGGAAATGCCCCACAGGTGCCCCACAAGCCAATCTCATGAGAGCATTTCCTCAACTGAGGTGCCTTCTTCCCAGATTACTCTAGTTTTGTGAAGGTGACATAAAACTAGCCAGCATGAATACCAGAAACTAAAATAAAAAACAACCAGTAGTTCCTAGTGTGTTCTCCAGAGCTCACTTCATTCCCACTAGGTCAGATTCTTATACATATGTAACTTTAAAATGACTATGACTGATCATGTTCATAAGTATGGCTCAAATTTCATGACAGAAAACAAACAAACAAACAAACAAACAAACAAACAAAAAAACCTAACCAGAGATATTTTCTCACAGGAAAGTCAGTATTTTATTTACTTCAGATATTGCAATTTCCTATCATGTCATATAAGGAAAAATCAAATTATATGAAGACAGAAGGCGATGGTTTTAAACTAACAAGATATGTCATATTTTATCAGTTTGCTATCTGTCTGATTTGATCCTTGGGTAAGAGCTTTAACTGAGTTCCTATTAGGCATAATGGAAGCTACAAAAAAAAAGCAGACTTTATGCCATCAAAGAATATTTGAATGAAACCCACTAAACATACACTCACAAACTGTACACAACACTTTTCTCCATCTAACATGACCAAAGACGGTGCAAAGACTAGAGGAAAGAGTTCCACCAGAGTTGAACATAGTAGTACATGCTATAATTTCAACACACAGGAGATGGAAGCCACTTTCCAGAAACATGGTGAGCCCCAGTGCCCCACACTCAATTTAAAACAACAAAAACCAAAACCAAAACACCCTCAAGCCCCAAAGTATATTACACAGGTCTTTTTTTTTTTTTTTTACTGTGCCAAAATATCAACGAACATTATTTTCTTTCCCTCTCTGTTTATCAAGACCCTGGCAATCGCTGTTCTTTTGGTTTCCTGAAGTCTACCTTAGTTTATTTTCTGTTCTCTACTCATGTAATGAGATATATCTTTTGGGGATTTCCTGTTCTGCCTCAAGATTTTTTCTTGCTATTGCTGGGATAATGTATCTTTTCCCCCTACAGCAATAAACTCTGTTTGCTGGAGAGACTGTGAATACAGTTTCTTCTTTGTGCTTTCTTTTACTAGATATCTGGAAACAATCATGGAGCAGATCTGTAAGCCCCCAGAGTGCTCAGAAACCTTGGGACCTAACTATTCAAAAGTAATTACCTTCAGGAAGCCTATCGGGAGGGTTAGAGACAAAAGCCACTCCATCACTCTCTGGGACTGCAGCTCTGCATCTCCCAGTTACCAGCTATAAATAGCCAGTAGTCAAGAGAACTTGAGAGTAAAATTTTGAAATGCTAAAAATATGGGAAAAATTAAAGGTGATACTGCTAGTTAGATGATTATCGGAGATTCGATGACATGCACATGGGGCCAAAGGCATTTGTACTTTACAATTGATGATTCGAGCAAATCTTCACAGGTAGTTTCACATGACAACAGAATTTACCAGGCCTTTATTTACCCAAACTACCTTTTATTTTAATGCTCTAGATTTTGGTTGACGATGCTGGCACGGTAGAAACAATAGAAACAATCACATCACAGGTACACCCATTTCCTTTGGGGGTAAAACACCACTATAAAAGAAGGGCTAGAGAACACAAAGACCACAGGACCAGATTAATCATAAACCTAGTCAACTGAACCTGAATTCTGTTCAAATACTTCCTGTCTTTTGTTTCAACCTGCTATACACCTTCAAGGTTACTGCAGTCTCCCTGAGCAACGGACCAGCCCACTCCAAACTGAGAGATGGGGATCCTTAGTGCAAAACCATTTATTGACTCCTTGACACCGTTTCATTTGACAATATATTATTCACTGACTGTCAAACAGTACACACAGTATTCCTACCCACACAAGGCCAACTCTGCTGATAGCTAACACACCCACCTTGCTATGAACTATGCAGATGCTTTCCTGTCAGGTTCTCAGGGAAGAAACCTGGTGGAATGGAAAGCAAAACCGAAAGGCAACTCAAACCTAAAAAGCTGGCTTCTCCCACAAGAACTAGGAGGGTGAAGACCATACAAAGGGCGACGTGAAGGAGGCGATGTATGATTTCTCCTGCCACATTCTAAAAATGTCCCCAAAGCGGGGCAGCTCTCAACACTCGGCTAGAGAACACAGGATCCGAGGGGCTGCAGGAGCAATGGTGAGCATCAGAGGCTGGGGGATGGGAAGGACTAAGGAGGGGGGAAGGCCGCTTTGGTTGTTGTAAATGTGTGTCTGGGTCCAGTCTTCTTCTTCTTCTTCGCCCATCCCTCATAGGGAAAACGCTGTTTTTATCTTATGTAGAACACTGGTTCTGGCCCCACCCTTGCGAGGTAGGGCAGGTGTGAGAAGGGATGCCTGGATTGGTGGGGGTCCAACATAGGGCTGGGGGCTGCAACCTCGAAGACTGCATCCACCAATCCCTCTCCGAGGCTGGAACTGGGCGCGAGGCACCGTGACAAGAACCGGGTCAGGAGGGGATCCCTGCTGAGGGGCGGATGCTAGCGAGAGACAATGAACAGCAGCAAAGACCCCCGAGGATGCCGCGACGCCTCCTCGGGGAATCCCGGGAGCTGGAGGCGGCAGCCCCGCCCCCTAAGGACCAGCCCTACCGCGGCAGAGATGGCGGCTGGAACCCACTCACGCTCCAGGCCTGGAGGCTTTCTCGGGGACCCAGCCCCCCAGCACCGCCGAGCCCAGAGCCCGCGCTCCGTACCTGGTCTCTGCGCTCCGGGATCCTTCTCCGCCGCCGCCTCCGCCGCCCGCTCCCCATCCCCAGCCTCCCAGGACCCGCCCCCTCATCCGCGGCAGCGACTGGCAGATGCTTCCGCCAATCGAAGCTTCGCCTTCGCAGTCCTGCCGCCAATTCTCGCCGATCGGAGGCGGGGCTTCTCCAAAGTCATCCCATCTCCTCCCGGGGCACCAAGATCCCTTTTGTTTGGGAGAGCCAGGCTGGGATTGAGCTCGCGTCACTTCCGGGAGGAAGTACACTTCTCAGACCGGTTGGAGTGTGGGCTCGCTCCCTTCCCTGCCAAGGTTCAGCAACTGGGATCCTGAGGAACAGTGCCCGGGGAACACCTTGTGGTGTCCTAATTGGGATTTTATCCACAATGTGAATAAATCATGTGAGTTTTAGCGTCTGCTTTAGAATTAATTATTGAAAACCTGGTAATGTGGCTTCTTTGCTCTTTTTTTTTCCTCCCGCACCGGCCATTGGGTGTGGTGTTGGAAGCAAGGGCGCAAAGATAAAGGGGAAGCGCCCGGAGACCACCTTCTTCACCACATCACCAAAGAGTTGTAGCTGTGGAGCCTCTAGGGTGGAACAAACCAGACAGTACCCGGTAGACGATGGCATGAGCCCTGCCGACCTCTTTCAGGCCGAAGTCAAATAGCAAACTTCTGGGTTGTTTTCCCACGCTATGCTTGCCGTTGGGTATATGGGACACTCTTTTGTACGTTTGGGCTCCGTCATACCGTGGGCAGTGGCGTTTGTAACGAAGCTGAAATAAAGAACAGTTGGATGAGAGGGAATGGCTTTCCTTGTGAACACACGAACGCAGATCTTAGTGAGGGCAAACCCTAGAAACAGGATCAGATAACCTGCAGGGAAGACAATGCGCTCCACCTGAGATCAGAGTTTTTAGCTTCCTTTTCCATAGGCTGCACTTCAGCTGACAAGTGATTGAGCTGGATTAATAATCACTTTGTTTTAAAGGACTGTAACAAGCACATACAAGAAGCCGACTATTAGCCGGGCATTGGTGGCGCACGCCTTTAATCCCAGCACTCGGGAGGCAGAGGCAGGCCGATCTCTGTGAGTTCGAGGCCAGCCTGGTCTACAGAGCGAGTTCCAGGACAGCCTCCAAAGCCACGGAGAAACCCTGTCTCGAAAAAAAAAAAAAAAAAAAAAAAAAAGAAGCCGACTATTTGCCGACGGTGCTGGCACACGCCCAGCACTCTGGAGGCAGAGGCAGGCGACTCGAGTTTGAGGCCGATCTGGTCTACAAAGCAAGTTCCAGGACGGCTTCAAAGCCACACAGAGAAACCCAGTCTTGAAAAACCAAACCAAACCAAACAAACAAAAAGAGAAGCCGAGCATTTAAATGCACAAGTAATGTATTACTGTGAATACATTATTCCTAATCTTCATAATGACTAGCAAGAGGAATGAATATTAGAGACTTAGTACACCCTAGCTAGCCAATGGTTCTCAATATGCGGGACGCAACTCCTTGGGAAAGCCTCTATCTTCAAAAATATTCAAATTATGATTCCTAGCAGTCGCAAATTCCATTTATGAAGTAACAAGGAAAATAATTTGATGGTTTGGGGTCACCACAGCATGAGGAACTGTATTCAAGGTTGCATTAGGAGGGTTGAGAATCACTGCCTTAGGCCAACACAGTCCTCGAGACAGGTGCAGTTTACAGTCTGGTGGAGAGATGCCAGCCTGTGTAATCATGGTTTAGAGGAAATAAGGTAGTTCTCATCATCACAGCTATGCTCCTCCATATAATATTTGTGTCAGTGCTGTGTGACAAGTCTGTCTTAACCCTGTGAGGTGGATATCTGTGACTGCTTTATGATGAGAAGATAGCAAAAAAAAAAAAAAGAAAAAAGAAAAAACAGAAAAAAACAGAGAAAGGTTATAGAGTTAGTAAATGGTAAAGAAAAATTACAAGAATAAGTAACTCCAAACCTGTACTGTATTCTGCTAACCACTTTTCACCAGGTGGACCCGTCCTGGGGACATGGACAGTGATTAAGACAGCGTCAGAGCAAAGGCAGCAACTCCATACTTCCCTTAGCCATTACAGGCAGGAAGGTCAGGGAGACAACACGTGGAGACATGCCAGTACAGCCCAGGTGCTTTTGGAGCCGTGATATAGGGCATGGAGAACTTCACAAAGACCTCATGCTCTGTGCTCAGAAAGAGAATCCAGCGGGCTAGGTGGTGCACACCTGTAATCCCATCACCCGGGAGGTGGAGGCACACCTGTAATCCCATCACCTGGGAGGTGAGGCAGAGGAGTCAGGAATTCAGGATCCTTCTTGGCTCCACAGTGAGTTGTAGCCCACTCTTGGCTATAGGAGACCTCTCGACAGAACACAGTGTTGGAGATGGTTTAAAGACAGTATTAGGTACAGGAATAGTACCATAAGCTTCAAAAGAATTCATTTCCTCCTCCTTCCTTTTGCTTTGCCTGTGGGTATGCATGGAGGAAGTGTCTCATTGTCAGACAATGAGGCAGATGTGGGACACAGGCTGTTTTTCTGCTCGATTCTGACTCACTCTAAGATTTGCTTCAATGAATCAGCTCTTCCAGCCTCCCTCTCCCTCCCTTTGTAGCTATTAATCCACCGCCACCCATTCTACTCCAAAGCTGACCTAATGGAAACTACCATGTGACCCACATCCTTTACAGCAATAAGCAGCTCCTCTGGCTCCACGGGCTGCTTTAAGCCCATTCCTGAGCAAGTGCAGAAAGGGTCAGCAAAGATGAGATCACCCCTGCCTTGTAAGATTCAGAGTCCTGAGAGTGTTAAGATGGCTTTCAATTTGTCACCCCTGAGGTAGGGAACAGGTGGGCTTTTGAGCCTCGGATAACCTTCAGCCGAAGGCTTCAATGGTGGCAGTTCTGCTGGAATCTTGTGATTCCATACATATAACTTGTAAATAAATTTAGGGTCTTGGTATGCAGAGGGAGAAAGTAGGCTCATGATATCTTGAATAGGCATAACCCAATATATCATGTTTTGGTCCAATGTTTTATCAACTTGTCGGTAAATATTTATTAAATGGATCCTGCGTGTCTGGCAACAACTTTATGCTGTTTACTTGCTAAAAGATTGCAGTGTGCAGCCGGGCAGTGGTGTTCCACGCCTTTAATCCCAACACCCGGGAAGCAGAAGCAGGCTGAGTTCAAGGTCAGAGCTACACGGAGAAACCCTGTCTTGTAAAAACAAAAGCAAAAATAATTGAAGTCTGGGTCAAGTTTTTTGTACAATGGCAAGCTTTGTAGGTAGATGTTCTAAGTGTTTGTTGCTGGCTTGGGAGGCAATGATAGAGTAGAAGAGGTTAGACTGGAAATGAAAACAACAAACCCGGGTCTGTAGCTGCTCTGCCACAAGCTGTTGAAACAAATCACCAGGGAGTGGGTGGCTTAGGACAACAGCCTGCGTCCTCTCCCTGTCTGGAGGCTAGCGGTCTGCAGTCAAGCTGTTGACAGGTTGTGTTCTTCTGGGGGCTGTGAAGTGAAGACAATCCATCCCGTGACTCTCTGTCTGTGGCTCCAGGCAGGCCTTGGCACTCCTTAGCTACAGTTGCATCACCCCAGTCTCTGCTTCCATTATCACCTGGTCCCTTTGTCTCGTGTTTCTGTGTGCCCTCCTCTTTCATAAAGACACTAGACGTGGGATTTAGAGTCTGCTCGACTGTGACTTCTTTTTCCTGTGGTCTCCCTATATAGACCACACTGGCTTAGAAATCATGACTAGGTGGATTTATAACCATGTATTACTATGCTTTGCTGGTCTTCATCTTAATTTATGACATTTGCAAAGACCCTGTCTCCATACTAGTCCACATTCTGAGACTCTGGGTAGACAGTAATTTTTAGAAGACAAACTCAGTACAAATCTAGTTGACAAAGTAATCTCCCCCACTTAATTCTAACTTCACTTTGGTAAATAGCACGAAAGAAATAGATGAATCATTAAATATCATTACGGGCTGTGATGGTAAAACCATTATATACATCCTGCATTGGTTAACTATTAAACTGTGTGCCAGGCACTGTGGAGTTACTTCCCATAAAGCATCTGTGTCAGTACCCTTGGAAGAATGTTAATATTCCCATTTTGCAGATTGGAAATTGAGCACAAGTAAGTCTGCAATTGAGGAATCTTGTGATAAATACAGAAGTGACCCTCTCCACCATCCTCAGTGGGTTAGGAAAATAGAGAGTACAATAATGTCCTTTTGATTTATGGGGCCAGTCAGATAGTTGAGGGCAAAGGCACCTGCTTCCAAACCTGGTGATGAACCCACAGGGTGGAAGGAAAGAATGAATGTCCTCATATTGTCTCTTAACTTCTACACCCAAATCTTGGTAATGCGCGCGCGCACACACACACACAAATAAACGAATGAATGCAATA